TTTTTTTTTTTTTTTTTTTTTTTTTTTTTTCCCTCACTCGTCTGTGGAGTCGATCGGTACGAGGATTTACGGTTCCAAGGTGCCGATCGATCGGAAGCGTGAAAAATGTACGTAAAATACGGCGCGCTGAAGCTTTTGTAAGTGGGCATGTTATATGTATACTTACACGCGTCGTTGTGACGTTACGTAAAGCGGATAATCGGGCGCGGGTATACACGCGGAAAAGGAGCACTCGATAGGTTCAATGAATCCTATATAGCTATAATTCACGCACATTTGTACGCGTCGTTCGTTACGTGTCGAGTAGGGAAATGAGGAATCGGAGTGCCAGCCGTGACATAATTAGCATATCGAGTGTCGTTGCGTAACTTTATGTATGGTTTTACGAGCTATTCTTTTACGAGAGGGGCCTTTTTTTTTTTTTTTTTGGTGATCTCGATCGGGCGTTCGAACTCAATGAAAAATGCTAAATATGATAAATAACGATCGTCGAATGGTCAAACACGGTATTTTGTGTTGTTTAGTGTAATTTCATGATGCCCCGTTGAAAACAGACAAAAATATACATTTTTTGGTGTATGAGTATTACTAAAAAAAGGTACGACAATAATTGATGTTCACTAGGATTATAAGTACGCTTGACAAAAAAAACGACTGTGACCTCAAGTATACGTGTTTGGTGTTTACTTTTAGATCTAGTGAACATGATTGTTTTTGATTATTCTCTAGTAAGCCTCTGAGTAGTGGTTGTTTTTCCTGCTTTAAATTCCAGGAGCGTATTTGTGACTTGATTCTGATTTTATAGGCTTACGAGCTGCTCGAGAGTGCAGTAAGTCATCGGTATACTTGGACTCCTGCTAAAATACACCATACTACCGTAGAGATGCGGGACACGCAGGTAAGGTTTTACAGAGAAAAATTTACGGGTTCACCGTACTCGCGTTTCTCTCTGCGTTGTGGAATTTTTTGACGATTCCATTTTTTTATTCTCCTTCGCATTGACAGCAATAACAAAACAAGTTTTTTTTTTTTTTTTTTTTTTTCTTTCTTTTTGCGCAAAGGAACGAAGAAGCCGCGTATGTATTTATGCACGCACCGTCAATAAAACACGTCGTACCGTTACACCTCGGCCGTTTATTTCCATCACGTGGATGCAGATAGTAAATTAAAAAAAAAAAAAAAAAAGAAAAAAAATAGATCGGTACTCGTTTTGTTGTTGCTGTCAATGTGAGGAAGAAAAAAAAAAGAAAAAACTCAACAACCACTGTATAAACAACAAAGTAACCTAGTTACTGTTAACTTGTATTCCAGATAAGAACAAAAGTTGGCAGGTAAAAATTGGACATATAGCATGATTGTATTAAATAATAGATATCTCATGGTCAAACTCACCGATTGCAACTCGTGTACGGACCAACAGGCAACAAAGTCGACAAAACGAAACGACTACGACTTGACGTCAAGGATGTGATCCTCCCTCGGATGATCGGGGGTGTAATAATATGTCTCCAGTTGGTGATGGTAAACTGCAAAATTGCCGGCGCGTGTACGAAAATATGTACCTCGACACGCCTGGGACCAAGAACGCGAGACGAGTCCGAAGGAGCCTGCGGAGGAGATTGCCGATCTTGCGAATCGGAAATGCGAGTACGGAATGAGCCGACGGGCGCGGGCGACGCTTCAGTATATACCNTGTCAATTTTTTTCTTCTTTTCTTTTTCTAATTCTTTACATTCCTGAATAGAATTGGTAGGTAAACCTAACCACCTGATTTCCTTCTTCTCTTTTGAAATAATATTCATAGCCATCAGGACATTCAAAGCGTCATATACTCTTCTTCTGATGTTTTTTTGATCATATTGCTGCAGTTATCAAATATATTTATTTAGTATCAATTCTTAATTATTTACACCCAACATAAATAATTAATAAAATTAATGGCTTACCATTAATTTTACCTGGTCAGTCAGTGAATTTGCATGGGATGGATTTGTGAATTCCCCCACTAATTCATCTGCTACCTCATTATATGAAGTAGTCCCTTTGTGTTTCACTTTTTCACAAACTTTCATTGAAAAATGTCTAAGGCCCTTACCGACTTTTTCTGTCTTTCTACGCTTACTATATGGATATCTGTAATAATAATTTACCAGATATAAAAAATTGCTGCATGATAGTAAATAATTTTGAAAAAAATTGAATATATATAATTACTCAATTAGCTGGTCACTGCCTTCTGTGTCGTGACGCTTTCTATTTCCTGTGTGGTCAAGGATTGGGCTGATGTAAGTTTTGCCAGAAGCATCTTTCATCAGTTGTTGATTGGCACTTTGTTGCTATTAAACAAGTCGAACGGTAAATAATTTGAAAAATACTCACAAAATGTTATAGAATAGTTTACTCACAAGTTGAGATGCTGATACTTGAATTGTCTTAGTCACTAGAGAATCATTAGGTTTCATCGATGACATACTTTGTACTTTTCCAGCTTGTATAGGTATTGTCACCAATCCTGTAAATAATTCATCATAAAATATTACGTCACGAATTTTATTACTAAAATTTTTTTGATCCTAAAGTACATACTTTGGCCAGTATTTGATGGATTCTGAAAGCTTATGGTTCTTAAAACTTGTCCTCCAGAAGATATGAACTGAAACAAAAAATTCCGAAATAGTATGTTTTAATTTCAAATAAGTATTATTTCACTCTACGTTTTTAAGTATCTTAGCAACTAATTCTTTCTTGGTATTTGAATGAAAGAAAAAAAAAAAAAAAAAGGCATTGCAAAACTACTCAACTTCGCGTATGAGTACACGCTCGCGAGCGCGATACTCTATAATATAATTCGTCTACATATTATGCATATTATGAAAAATCACTTTGCCTCACGTACATATAGTTTTTACTTACGATAATTTTTTTTGCTACAGTCTCATCTGCTTTTCATATTCATTAAACCATACGTGCGCGCTTGGGTTGTTCCCGCCTCCCCCGACGATGCTCGGACTGAGGTTACTCAACCATCAAGCCAGAAGTGCAACCGCGTCGTCCTTTCTCCCGTCGCCAAGAGTCGCATCGTTTACGTGAACGCTGCATGCACGTATATATATATATATATTACATGTTACTCCTCTTCTTCTTCGTCTTAACCGTTTTTTCGATTCAACAATTTTGCAATTTACTCACGAGGATTGATTAAGTTACTAGCCTTGCACTACACGCGAGATGCAATGATTTTCCTCGTCTTTAGGTACCTACACCTTACTTATATTACTTGCTTACATATACGTGTACATAATTATTTATATAGAAAAACGTTTAGTGGCTTTAAGGATGTACTTTTGAATTTAGGGAGGAATTTTTTTGGATACCCCTTCTTTTCAAAAACAATGGAATATCAAATAAAACATATAACGTTAACTATTTGATTTTGTGGTTCTAGTTTTTTGGGGACTACAATTTATTTCGTGTTTTTTAAGCTACGTAATGATCCTTCAACGGAAAGATACGCTTTTTGGTTTATTCTCGTGTTTTTTTTCGTTTGATACAATGTTATTAATTAATGTTTCACGATTGTCGATTACTATTCGAAAATTTTCGTTACTCACACATGGATCGTTAAATTCCAAAATTGCAAAGAAATGTTTTACTCTACAGTTGTTGTTTCATTAAATTTTCTATACATGTTTGGAACGAACGATGCAGGGTTGATATTTTGTACCATTTTTTTTTTTAATTTAGAAGCCCATGTAATACACCATGTATAATAAAAAAAAAAAAAAAAAAATACACAAAATAACACTCTTGTTGGAAACGAATAGTAGGTAATTTTTAAACTAATATCACGAAAATTTTTAAAAAGATTTTAAAAACTTTGAATTTCAACTCTCCTGATTTTAAAATATTTTGTCATAACAAATGAATTATATATATATATAAAAAAAGATATTTAAACTTAAAAAAAAACTGAGTGTGAAAAGTGAGGGATAAAATTGTAGTTATTGTGCCATCTAGCAATGGAGTTGGCAAATAATAAAACATCACGTTGACTTACCATCGCGACTATTTATCAACAATAAATTAGTATGAATTTAATACAAACATGTTAAACAGTTATTCTTCACATTGACTCGTATTACACACATACTTACACAACATTCGTTTGTTTACGCACATAAACGATAAGGGATTTAAAATTTAAATGCGCGTTCAAGTGTGAAGAGCAATGTGTATGCGCGCGCAATGCGTGAGAGGAGGGACCGAGGGAGGTAAAACAGTTTTGCGCCGCGCACGTGTAAACGTTCAATCGATAGCAGCCAACTTCAGTGTTGTGATTGTGTCAAACAGTACCGCACGCTTGTGTTAGCTTGTACCGGAGTACAACAGCTGATCGTTCGGGCGTCCGACTGTCCGTGTTCCCGTCATATACAAAAGGAAGTAGAAACCAAGTTATACCAGAAACAAACCCTGGCTACAATGAAGCCGACGCCGTTGGTCGCCGACGAAATGTTCCCCGAGGGAGCCGGACGATTCATGTCCTTTGAGATGATCTCCGACAACATGGAAGAAATGGTGAGTCCCAGGGGGAGAGTCACTTCTTTGAGCAATAGTGTCGATCGGATTTGCTTTATTTCGCTGTTTATTTCAGGCCGGGGGCTCTAATTCCATCATGATCGACATAGGCACGGACGAGAAGGCGGTTCACGCTGATTTTTTCAACAGTAAGTTAACAATTTGATTGTGTTGAATTTCCTAACCTCGATTCTGTATGATGATCGAGGTTTTACTTATTTTTACTCTATGATCACTGACCTGATGCCACGGTGGTAATTTTTTTTTCGTTTTTTCTTGCAGAGTTTGAAGATTTATTTGACGACGATGACCTGGAGTGAACGAGAATTATTTAAGGGCGATTCAAAAATTGTGTTAAAAGGAAACGGATATTTGACTGTCAATGTGATTAAAATCCTTACATTATTAATCGGAACTCTTGTGTAAACATTTTTTGGAACTGCATATTATTAATAAAACATGAATTGATAACGAGTTGAATTATTAAACTTTGTTACCTTAAATAATATCAATTTATTTGACAATGTCTATATAATGTGTATTTACAGTTTAAAGATAACGTTTTGATATTTTGCAGAAGTAATTTGTCTTAAAGCTCAAAGTGATATTTGAGATTTTCAAAAAAAATCTTTAAGTATAATATAATTACACTTGCAATCATTAAGCACTTCTTACCTCCTCTCAAGACATCGTTGAAAAAATTTTAGCCAAAATATAATCTATTACATTAATTTTACAGTGCAATGCTTAGGTCAAGCTACTATTGTTGTACAAGCAAAAATTCTCTTATTTATTAAACAATAGGTGCACTTGTATTTTAAAACCAATAACCATCTTGGTTTATTTTGTAATAATATGACCATTCATGGATGATTCTGAATTGATTCAAGCATGTGCTTGACTTCATATTGTATTCTCTTTTGTACCACAGAGATATATAAATGTGTCATAAGAAAAAAATTAATAGCGTTATATTTTATACATGTATCGTAGATATTGTTTATGAGATTATAATGTACAATACATTCATAAATCTGTATAAGAGACGATGCAGGATTAATTTAGCACCGAATTTTTTTGCATTCAAATCAGTCGCTCTGCATGATCTTCAAGATTGATGCTTGTCTTTTTTATATATATATTTATATTTTNAAAAAAAAAAAAAAAAAAAAAAAAACTTTATCAAAACATTAATTGCTTAAAAACAGTGAATCTTGTTGAAAACATGATAATCGGTTTACCTGAGGCTCTTGACCAGGTGTTTTGAAAACCTTGAGGTTAGCATTAGTAGCTCCAACAATGCCACTTAAGCGGACTGTATATACCTCTATATTTTATATTTTTTTTTCACTTTATCACACTCACATTTGCTTTTGCTACACTGTATAAATAATGTTAAATTCACTGCATCAGATATGATAAATAATTTTACTGCTTCCAATACAGGGAATTCTTTCATTTTTGTTGAAAACTTCTCTCAGTGTTCAGTTGTTGGTTGGCCCCGACCGACGCAAAATTCACGCAAGATGCCAATCACTCAGTTAGTTGTATGATAAAAAAAAAATTGTTCTTAAAATTTTGTAATATACGCCGTTCACGCAAACATGTAACAAATCTCGAAATCAAATGGTTAAAACTTTTCAACTTCCACTCACCATCTTCACTTTCTTTCACGTGCGTTGATCTCGCTATAAATCTTGTAAAAATAACTTCAAATTATACGCGACGTGTTGCTATCGCGTATTCGAGCAAAACACTTATTTGTTACTTCTTAAAACTCGCAATAACGACAAACTCTATAAATCAGCCACGTCGCGCTCTTCGATGGAGTTTTGTCCCTATTTTACTTTGTGATCAAGGTTTTAAAGAATGAATGATCCACCGTCGAAATGATACACGCGAATAAAGCGAATATCAACCGAGCTCACGGTACCATCATCATTATCAGCACGACCGTCAAACAGTTCTTGTTCAATGTTCATCTTCCTGAGAAGAAAGTAGATAGAGCGGGTAGATCCCAAATCTAGCTTTCGAGGGGATCTTTGGCAAAGTGCTAGTTTAGATCAAGATCACTTTCAACATGTTCTTCCTGTTCGCTCTCTTCTTCCTCTTCCTCCTCTTCGGAGTACGGCGATGGTGGAGACAGATCTTCCGAGAGGGAGGTGTGAGATGACGGAGGCCTAGAAGTTTCGATTTTCATTTCCATATCATCGATTGACGTTCCCGAGACGTATGATTTGACGGGTATGAACTTTTCCAAATCGCCAGATGCCATTTCTAGCAGATAAGATTTTATTGATTAGTAAGCAAATTTACTTTGAATTAATTCTATCATAAACAATATGTTGCACTTACGTTCGACGTACTCTTCAAGAGCTTTGGGAACCATAGATTTGGCTTTCTGCAAATTTTCTTCCAGAACTTCTCCTCTATCTAGACCTGAATCAGGATATTAATGTCATTTGATTTTTGTAACTTAAAAAACAGTTGTAATAAA